ACTGGGCCCTCCTAAAATTAAATATTTATGGTCATCAAGAGACTTTATCAAAACAGTAGAAAGAGAACCTACAGACTGGGAAAAAAATCTTTCAGACTGACACGTCTGATAAGGGTCTAGTCTCTAAAATATATAGAAAACTTCAACTCAACAAAAACATGACAAACAATCCAATTTAAAAATGGGCAAAAGACATGAACAGACGCTTCACCAAAGAGGACATTCAGGTGGCCAACAAACACATGAAAAGATGTTCACGATGATTAGCCATCAGAGAGATGCAAATCAAAACTGCAACGAGATATCTGACCCCTGCAAAAATGACACTGATCAAAAAAGCAGAAAATAACAAATGCAGGCGAGGTGGTGGGGAGATGGGAACTCTTATCCACTGCTGGTGGGATTGTAAAATAGTCCAACCACTATGGAAAACAGTGTGGCGATTCCTCAAAGAGCTAGAAATAGAAATACCTTGTGATCCAGCAATTTCCCTCTTAGGTATATACACTAGAGATTTAATTACAGTGACATGAATAGACATGCACACTTGTATTTATTACAGCATTATTCACAGTAGCAAAAAGATGGAAACAACCCAAGTGCCCATCAGCAGATGAATGGATAAACAAAATGTGGTACATACATACCATGGAATACTCCTCAGCCAGTAGGAGAAATGAAGTCTTGATAAACCAGTTGCCGTCAATTCAATTCTGACTCATAGTGACTCTGTAGGACATAGTAGAACCAATTGTGTATATACCAAAAAAAAACCCATTGCCGTCGAGTCAATTCCAACACATAGTGACCCTATAGGACAGAGTAGAACTGCCCCATAGGATTTCCAAGGAGCAGCTGGTGGGTTAGAACTGCCAGCCTTTTGGTTAGCAGCCGAACGCGTAACCCCTACGCCACCAGGGCTCCATGGATATGCAGTGATGCCTTAATCATAACTACAAAATGATTGAGGCCATAAAGGTTCTGAACACAGACTCTGAGAGCTTCCTGGTTGGCAAAGGGAGGGTGACATGCTGTCGTTGGGATATGGAACCTTTACCTTGGGAACCCTCCCAGACTGCACCCATGCAACTCTCCTTACAATGATCCTGATTTGTATCCTTTTGCTATAATAAATGTGAAATTACAAGTATAGTACCTTCTGTGAGTTCTCTGAGTCTTTCCAGCATATTATTGAACCTAAAGGATCAGTGGGAGCCAGCAGGTAAAAGTGAGAGAGCCCAGGGGAAGGCTCCCCGAGCTTGCCGCTGGCATCCTGAAGGGTAGTGGGAAAACCCCAATTTTCAGCCTGCAGGTAAGAAGTAAGGGTGTCGTATGGACTCCTGAGTTTTCAGCTGGCGTCTGCCTATTTGGCAGTCTGAAGGATGATGTCCTTTCAACTTGGGAGCTCTGATCTAGCTCTGGGTGGCTAGGGCCAGAGAGAGTGCTGCATGGGTGTCTAATGTCAGAGATGATTGAGAAGTGGGAAAGTATGAATTTTATTAATCTTCACACTTTGGGGATTGGATTTATATTGATTCTTATCCACAAACCTCTCAAGTGATTTTGGCCCACTGAAGTATGAGAGCCATTACAATTGCCTGATCCTACTCCATGCCCTTTTGTTCCAGTCATAGCAAACTACTTGATCTAGGTAATTACTTCACACCCTTTAAGACTCCAGTCAAGGGTTTCCTTTGTTCCACCTTGTGCATACATCTTATCGTGATTGTTATCCATTACTGCACCATACTATGGTTGTGGTTTCATTTTTCTCCCCTACCAGATTCTTTCCTTTTTGAAGAGAGGTACCGTGTTTTATTCTATTTTACAATTCTAGTGCTTGGCACAGTTTTTGGCAGGTAGTAGACACTCACAAATATTTGTTGAAGAAATGGGAATAAAAAGCCTGTTAGCAAGTTATTAGGATTTTCCTTTCCATAAATATGAGCTTCTTAGAAATTTTCTTAGATTCTTAAATTTTATATTCTTTGACAAAAAATTTTTCTAGGGAACTGAACCTCTAAATTTATGGCTGTAATCTAGCATCAGAACCTGTCTAACTTTAAGAGGAGGGATGAGAATCAGGATCAGCACAAAGCAGGTTCCTACAAGGCAGAGGTCAGATATACTTCCACTCTACATTTTTCACCATTTCTGACACCAGCTGTACCCCCTACGGCACTCTACTTCTCTGCTAGCTTCAATAATTCATTGCAGTGGCCACAAAGTACTCACAGAACATACAATTAGGAGGTTTATCAGGGCTACACCTTGGAATCAGGATCAACTTGAAGTTACTGGATACAACTCAGGAGACAGGATACAGTTCTTCAATCAGGACAGCTTCCAACCAAGACAGCTCTCAGCTTTTTTTTGGTCATGCTTACCAGCAGGCCCTTCTCCCACCTGCTGGACCTTGTGGGCCTTGCCTCTGCCGCTGGTCCTTGCCTCTGCCACTGGGCCTTCCCAGGCCTCTGCCCTGCTCTCGGGCAAGTGTTAACAGCTCTTTTGGCCTCTCCAGTAAGTGTCCGGAGACACCGCACTATGCCAGCAAACCTCCTGCCTGAAGGCACCCAGCTCTCCGTGGGCCGGCAAGTGCCACCGCAGCTGTCTGTCAGTCCCAAGGTTCCCACTGTTCCTACTGCTGCTGCCATCTCACACTGTCTTCAGCTTTACAGCTCTTGACTTATATTCAGCTCTTTTAGTAGGTTCTCTCTGTCTCATTGCCTCTGTCTGAAAACCTGTTAGGTTGACTGCTTATATAGCAAACTTCTTATCATTTTCAAGGTATGAGCCTCCCAGCCAGGCCACAAACTGATCAACCCCTATAAAGTCACTTAATCCTATTGGGTGGTTTTACATACCCTATTTGCATAGGTGGCTCAAGAAGACAAAGTATTATAATGACATGTGCAAAGAGCTGGAGATAGAAAACCAAAAGAAGAACACACTCGGCATTTCTTAAGCTAAAGGACTAGAGAAAAAATTCAAGCCTTGAGTTGCAATAGTGAAGGATTCTATGGGGAAAATATTAAACAATGCAGGAAGCATCAAAAGAAGATGGAAGGAATACACAGAGTCATTATACCAAAAAGAATTGATCGAGTTTCAGCCATTTCAGGAGGTAGCATATGACCAGGAACCGATACTACTGAAGGAAGAAGTCCAAGGTGTACTGAAGGCATTGGTGAAAAACAAGGGTCCAGGAATTGACGGAATATCACCTGAGGTGTTTTCAACAAACAGATGAGGTGCTGGAAGTGCTCACTCATCTATGCCAAGAAATTTGGCAGACAGCTACCTGGCCAACTGACTGGAAGAGATCCATATTTATGCCTATTCCAAAGAAAGGTGATCCAACAATGCAATTATCAAACAATATCATTAATATCACACTCAGGTGAAATTTTGCTGAAGATCATTCAAAAGTGGCTGCAGCAGTATATTCACAGGGAACTGCCAGATTCCGAAGAGGACAGGTAACCAGGGATATCATTGCTTATATCAGGTGGATTCTGGCTGAAAGCAGAGAATACCAGAAAGATGTTTACCTGTGTTTTATTGACTATGCAAAGGCATTTGACTGTTATATCCATAACAAATTATGGATAACATTGCGAAGAATGGGAATTCCAGAACACTTAATTGTGCTCGTGAGGAACCTGTACACAGATCAAGAGGCAGTCATTCGAACAGAATAAGGAGATACTGCGTGGTCTAAAGTCAGGAAAGGTGTGCATCATGGTTGTATCCTTTCACCACACCTATTCTGTATGCTGAGCATATATCCGAGAAGCTGGACTCAGTGAAGAACCAGGGCATCAAGATTGGAGGAAGATACATTAATAACGTGCATTATGCAGATGACACAACCTTGCTTCCTGAAAGTGAAGAGGACTTGAAGCACTTACTGATAAAAATCAAAGACCACAGCCTTCAGTATGAATTATACCTCAACATAAAACAAAAATCCTCACAACTGGACCAATAAGCAACATCATGATAAATGGAGAAAAGATTGAAGTTGTCAAGGATTTCATTTTACTTGGATCCACAATCAACACCCATGGCGAAGCAGCAGTCACCAAATCAAAAGACACATTGCATTGGGCAAATCTACAGCAAAAGACCTCTTGACAGTGTTGAAAAGCAAAGACATCACCTTGAAGACTAATGTGCGCCTGACCGAAGCCATGTTGTTTTCAGTCACCTCACATGCACTCAAAAGCTGGACAATGAATAAGAAAGACTGAAGAAGAATTGACGCCTTTGAATTGTGGTATTGGCAAAGAATATTGAATATACCACGAACTGCCAAAAGAACAAACAAATCTGTCTTGGAAGAAGTACAACCATAATGCTCCTTAGAAGCAAGGATGGTGAGACTGTGTCTTACATACTTTGGACATGTTATCAGCAGGGATCAGTCCCTGGAGAAGAACATCATGCTTGGTAAAGTAGAGGGTCAGCGAAAAAGAGGAAAACCCTCAACGAGATTGATTGGCACAGTGGCTGCAACAGTGGGCTCAACGAGATTGATTGGCACAGTGGCTGCAACAATGGGCTCAAGGATAACGATTGTGAGGATGGTACAGGACCAGGCAGTGTTTTGTTCTGTTGTATATAGAGAGAGTCGCTATGAGTCGGAACCGACTAGGTGGCACCTAACAACATTTGCATAGTAAACTGACAAATTCCTGCAAGGTGTATAAAATAGACCAATCACAGGGCAGGCTGTGGCCCAACCAGTCATTTTTGGCAGAACTATAAACCCAAGGAAATGCCATATATAAGATAAACTCCTTGCACTGCAAGGACAGAAATTTAGGTTACATCAGACTTCCCGGATTTATTTTGTTAAATGAAGACCTGCTATTGTACTATATATACAATGCATTTAATGAGAGTAAATATATACCAATTGACTTCTTCATTAATGCAAAAGTAAATTTATTATTTTTAACTAAAACTAATTAATCATATTTTTGTTTCTTTTTCAGTTTGCTCATGGATGACATGAAACACGTATTAGAGCTAAATAAATTAATAATGACATCACAGCAGGTACACTTGCACATTAGGGTGCTTTTGCTCTCATGATTTGAGTAACAACTTCTTGCTGATAACTGTATTGTATATGATTAAATAGGATTGCTTAAAGGGACTGGTATAGTTCGAATTTATTGTGCTTAAGTCTCTTTTTCATGACTCCTTTATTTCTGACAGCTGTTACTAATTACCTACTTATAGTTTAAGCTACTGTCCTCTCCTTTAAGTAATGTGCTTTATTTTTTTTAATTTTTAATGATAGGAATCTTGGGACTTAGAGGAAAAACTACTTGATATTAGAAAGAAGAGATTGCGTATGTAGAACACTTTATTTTTTTTATAGAACACTTACTGTGGAGATTAATAAGGCCACATCTTTCAGCCAATGAAAAATTTCTTAATTTTCAAAATTTCTTAAAATTTTGGATGTGCCAGTCTAAAAAGTAGATGAAATGCATTTTACTTTGTTTCAAAACTTTATATCATAAAATTATTACATCGCCAGTGGAGGTAAAAATCAAATAATACCCAAAAGTATAATAATGAAAGTCATGCCTCCTTCTCGTGTGACCACAGTTTGGTATATATCCTTTCAACCTTTACCAAGCCCATATAAATTTAAATAAATAAATATACATACGCACACATGATGAATGCATATGGTTCTAAAGATGTTTCATTTATCATGAACATGAGATGACTTTTTGCATTGAAATTATTGAAATATTTATTTCAAAAGTGATACATGTTCTCTAGGAAATTTGGAAACAAAAATATACATAGGAAAAGTTAAATTTTTAATTTTACCATCAGGAGATAATCAACCTTAGCATGTATTTCTTATAAAATAAAATTGGTATCATTTTATAATATATTGTAAACTGCTTTGTTTGTTTAACGTATAGACAGGATTTATTATTTTTAAATATTACTGATTTGCCTGTTAACAAGCAATCTTAGTCGTCTGATCTAGTCACCTTTTCTTATCTGATAAAATTAAATGCCTCTTTGATGTTTAATTTTTTTCCCATTGCATTCCAAACTACTATTGATATGTTACTTCTGAGACACACCGATTTATATTTTGGAATTGTAGAATTCTTAGACTATTCTTGGAAATATAAAAAAGAGTTGATGGTGTTTAGTCCTGGAGAAGGGAATCTTACTTTACCTTGTATATATGTATCATTTTTGTAATTGAAGGGGAAAAAATATTTCCTTATATTTTAATATATATTTCCTGCCTATTGTTTTGGCAGCACAGAATAAGCCCTCTGTTACTTGATGCCATCATTGTCATCATGTCATCAGTCTCATTTTCAGACATAAATACCTTGAACATGTGATAGTATAATTGTCATATGTAAACACCTTAAACGTTTCACAGAGGGTGTTTTTAAATATAAAATGAAAACATTGGTGTATTCTGCCAGTATAGTCATTTTCAGGTCAATATAGGATTGTAACTTAAAATGCTGCTTATTAAAAAATTTCTCTTGACTGAAATAACCAGGAAGTGTTCTGATTTGCTGTTCAAGATTCTTTGTTTATAGAGTTATTATATGTAGTATATTGTTTTATTTTTAACCTAGCAGAATTAAAACAAGCTTCAGAAAGTAAGCTTTTAGAAATACAAACTGAAAAGAACAAACAGAAAGATGATTTGGACAATATGGAAAATTCAGACAAGATAAAGGCCATACGACAAAACCTACAGCGGGAGATACAAATTACTACAGTTATTCAAAATGTGTTCCAGGTAATGTTCAATTATACAAATTGGGAAGAGAGGTAAAGAACTTTTTTAAATGATCGATACTATTATAATGTGGATTTACTTTAGTTATGAGTATCTTTATTCTATGATGTTGATTAACAGTTCAGTGCTGAGTATTGATCTATATACATTTATCTAGAATTCATGTATATTGAATGTTTAAGGCCTTGATCTTTCATTATGGTTAGATATTAGGTATTTATGAATGGAATGATTTTAGCAGGTCTCTGGAGGCAGTATAGTATAATCGTAGAGAGTTTGAGACTCCCAAGTTGTGTGTGTTTGGGGAAGGGAAAGGGGGTTCAGGGTGGTAGGAATCTAGGATTAAGATCCTGACTGCTAGTTACAAGTTGTTAACCTTGAGCAAATTATTTACCTTTCCTACGCATCGGTTTCTTGTTTAGAAAGAGCAATTGTGCAAACTAAAGAGACTAATCCATGTTAATCTGTTTAGCATGGTATTTAGTCCAAGTAAATTCTCAATAAATGTTGGCAGTTATTATCATGTCAGTTTTCCAATTTTATGTATTTCTTCATTGTGGAGGTTTTCCATTACTTTTTTTTTTTTTAATTGTACTTTGGGTGAAGGCTTACAGAACAAATAGTTTCTCATGATACAGTAGTACACATATTGTTTTATGACAGCCCTCTCTGTTCTCGACCTTTTTTTTTTTTGGTGAAAATATACATAGCCAAAGATACACCATTTCAAAAATTTCGACATGCACAGTTCAGTGACATCAACTACGCTCTTCCAGTTGTGCTACTATTCTCACTTTAGATGAAGGCTTACAGAACAAAATAGTTTCTCATTTAACAGTTAGTACACATGTTGCCCTGTGACAGTGGTTAACAACCTCACAACACATCAACAATATCCTTACTCAACCT